AAAGTTAACTTGTTAAATCGTCATCTAAGTAGGCCTACGGTATTCTCTTGTTTAGAATAGTCACTGCTCTAATTATAAAACCATTTTTTCCTGTGCTTGGACAAAAACTGTAGGCTATAAAAAAAGAATTTTTTAAATAAAATTTATTATATTATTATTTTTTTAATTGGCGTCTTCAGGTTGTATTTACTTTTTGTCCATGTAAAACGCTGGAATATAAAATATCGTGTCTTTGATATTCAATTGCTAAACTACTAACTAAGGAGCTTCAAGAGTAATTTGTAAAGCCTACTCGATAAATATTTAGTGGAAATTTCATATTCAGGTAAAAATGTAGCCTATAGGAAATATCAATTAATATCACATTTTGTGAAAAAGCAAACCAATATCAACCTGCCATATGGTGAATACAATCAGCATTGTGTGAATGTTGCAAGATTGCAGATAGTTTTCTGAAGGCTCTCTAATATGTTAAATTTTACGTGTAAGCTGATAAAGTAACACTTTCTGTAACTGTTTAGTTTAATGGGAATATTATTGAATATTAAAAATGATTATATAATAAACTATTGGGTAGTCCTGGAAAAAACGTATTTCAGTTGGTTTTTATATAGGCCCTAACTTGCTATAGAAAACTTGTGTAATATATAGCACAATCACAAGAACGAAAACTATTACAGCAGATTTTTTACATACCCGGTACTTTTTCTAATATAAAATCAATAGGCTATTTAACATTTTTTAACATTTTTTAAAAAGTTTGTTGGCACTATAATTTTAAGATATTTTGGTTTTGAATGTTTTAACTTGCCAACATTTGTTATAAACCCTTTTAAGTTTGGAATGTACAATTAATTTACATTGTTTGAAGAAGTTTTCTGATAAATAACTAGTTTTTGTGGTTAGAAACAAAATTTTACTATTCTTTAGATGAAACGCTACATTAACATAGACAATGAAAACAGCTCATTAATTAGGCCAAAACCAATCAGAACAATTCTATGAAACAAGTAGTTTGGTGCTTAATTAAACGTAATTTAATTCAAAGTGTAGCATGAATCAGTCAAGTTATGCATGTTAGGCCTTGACAACAGTTTGGCATTCATGCATGTGGAGCAGGGAGAATTGGAAAGGATTAATAGTTTTGGAGAATTTGTGAGCAAGGCAGCACCTTGTGTAGACAAGGCTGTCTACTGGAATGTTTCAACAAGGTTGTGTGATTGTTGAATTGACCCAGTGGGGAGTAAGGAAGTGACGTGGCGAGTGTTGAATTTCGTGATTGGTCCTTAAATTTTAGTAGGCTTTTCAGTAATGCTGTTGTAGCAAATCTGCAGCTAAGCGAATTTCCATTTAATTGATTTAGAATCTTCTCTAGAATATTTCCCTAAACTTGTCAGATTCATTCCACATTCAAACAAAAGTAGTTTTTTTGAGCACTAAGGTTCGCTGATGCAGGTTAGGAAAAAAGTGAAAAAATCATATAGGCTAGGCCTAGCTTAGTATGAAATAAATAGATTTGATTTAAATACATCCCTAACCTAACAAACTACTAGGCTACAGTTTATTCCTTACCTGTATACTTAACATTAACTTCTAACTTTAATTCACAGGTTTTTATGTTTTGTTTTGTAGCCACTAAGTGTACAAAACACTTAAATATACTAAATTATTTGCTGTTTGAAGTTTTACAAAATAGTTTAGAAAGAAATGCAAAATTTTTTATTTTGAGTACTAAAAATGACGATTTTTACCTTGTAGTATCCTCATAAAACCCCATTCCTATAGGCTGACCATTCTTGTTAGCAAACCCGTTAGAATAAACGTAGGTTTACAAGTTTGTACAAAATTTAATTAAATTCAAATGGTTTTTACTCGAGTTATCGTGTTAACAGACACTCTTTAAGACGCACACACTTGTAGTCTAGATACAAAAATGTATGAATTGGAACAAATTGTATTGTCCTCTGTGGACATCAAAAGTAAATCGGTTCTGGGTAGGTCTTACCATGAGACTTACGGTTATAGATAATTCCCTGTTGGGGAAATTCGCTAAAATCGAGGTTAAGTGAGGCTAGGTTTTCTTGGCACCTCTCCGATTGAGTGGGCAGCAAAACAAAATAAAACTCAGGCCATTGACCTTGAAACATTCAACATCCTATTCCAACTTGGAGACTATTATATCACTTGGTGTGTTGCTGATTAACTATTTACCTAACAATTTTTGTATCTAACTTAAAAAGTTAATTAGGAACACCAACTTTTGAGATAACCGTAAACCGCACACATAAACAAAAAGTCTTGATGAGGAATTTTCTAAAATTATATTAGTTTTTCAATCAATCTCAAAAGCGCTAGAGCCTTAAATATAGGGTTGTAATTAATTGTATTTTAAATATTGAATATACGTACATTGTTACATTTAAGCTTATCAGTTTATTTTTTCCTGAGTCAACCTTTTGATTATTAAAACAACACTGTGACAAGGTATTTATTGTTAGTCTTGTATGGGGGGATACCCTCAAACTCACTACTTCTTAACAGTTTCACTATCTGACTAACATATTCTTAAGTGAGTAGTGAGTAATCATAGTTTTAGTATTGTTAGTGTTGTGTTATGCAGGGTATTTGGCTCGTTGTCACTCTCAGTGATCTATTCCTGGTGATCACGTTTCTTGTACCCTTACTCTTAAACAACTATTTCTGCCTGTGTTACTTCTCTCTGGTGCGTTTATTTCATCTTGAGATAATTTTCAACCTAAATTTAATCACTGTCACATTAGTTTTTCTCCTTATCTTTGTTTTTCTTTGTATTTGGTAAATAATATGGCAAAATATTGTAATACTATTACTGGATGATGAAATATTTTTCATTTTTAGTTTGTGCAGCAAGAGAAAGTAAAAAACGTTGTATTTTCCCCATTTTTGGCATTATTCATATGTCATGTTTAAGTAGTGCTGCATCCACACTTTGCAAACGTTCCTGACAAACATGTACGTTTGTGCGCTGAACTAAAAACAAACTTTCAATGAACGTTCGCTGAACATTATTTTTAAGCTGTTTGACAGACAAAATATGGTGTTCGCTTTAAACTCTGTATTTAGGTTTATCGAGTGAAGATGGATGTGTGTAGACGTTGGCATACTTGCTTGTACTGTTGTTTAGGCTGCATATTATATATTATCAGGTATCAACGCTCAAAAATGCTAAATACTTCCAACACCCAGGGGGGTATTTGATTTACCTATCCTGTGCATTTGTTAACCAAACCCCCTTTTTTGCTCTTTTTTGAACGCGGTTGGCATTTTTTAGAGATGAAAACGAGAGTTTATAATTTTTGAAAACTGTCCAAACCCATTTTTTAGGGGATCGAACCCGCACTGAAGTCCGAGACGCTAACCACTATGCTAGCAACACACCCTATTTATCCTAGGAAATTGAATAATCTAACACGTCGTCGGTACATAAGGTATTTTACTATTTTCAACTGCTCGTATATAGTCATTGCCTACGACTACACTGGTACTAAATAATACAACAGTTGTTCTGTTGTCCCCGCTAATTGTCTACGAGTCACTTGTGTTTAGCAGCCAGGGCTGTGTTTTGACATCCAGCATGTAATGTGAGTCTGCCAGCCAATTACATGTACAAAATAACTTGTTGATTTCCATCACGGCCTTGAGTCAATGAAACTTGTTATCATTTGTAAGTTTGAGTTTCCCCGTTATCTAGAACCAATTCACATTCAAGTGAACGTTTGTTTAGCAACACCTTGAATGATTTTCCCCATTCTTTGAGTGTTAGGTTTTTTTTAGTTTTGTAATTTATTTTACAAAACTATTGTAAGCTGCTAAGTGAGTTAGGTCCAATTTTGATGAAATTTTGCATGACTAAGTAGGGTTGGATATATATACTTGGAGAACCAGCAAGATTGGGTAATAACAATGTTATGGGGTGTAGACATTTTTTTTAAATTGGTTTTTAAAAAACTTTTAGTGGTTAATCATAGAAACGCTAAATATTAATCACAGCCATTATGTAGCAAATGTTTTTGTTTATTTTTTTAATGCGTTGTAGCGAGTAAATCCTTGTAGTTACAGAGAAAATTCCAAAGATGGAATTGTGTTGTAATAGGCCTACTGTATTCGAATTCTTTCTTTTTCATCACCAACAAACCTTTTTTTGGATTATCAACCAACCTAACCTATCCTAACTTATCGAGACCCAATTCTACCTTACTGAACCCAACCTAATCTGACCAAACCTAACCTAACCTCACTCTATATTCTAGTTCCTGATCATGTTGGTAAACATTACCCGTATTGTTTTGACACGGAACTTCCCCAACATAGGTGGATGAGTGCGAGAGCCGTGTGGAGTGTAGATTGTCGCCGAGGGCGCACATTCTAGATACAAACATGTTTGCTCTTTGTAACCCACTTTCTCTCATCAGATCAGTTCAGGGAAAGGCTTCCTAATCCCTTGTAGTATTTTATGTTGGATCGAATCTTTGTGTTGCAATTTGTTTATCTGTTATCACCTTGAGATACCAAATAGATACATCTGGGATGTAGGAAAATCGTAAATAATATTTCCTCTAGGAGCTTACTAGTGTTTCTGTAATAAATGTCAAAGTTTTGAAATTATTATCGTTGAAGCCAATAGTGAAAATTTATGGCTGAGGTAGAAATGGTTACAGCTGTTAATTTGCTCTCCTATTAACCCTTGCGGTCGAATTGTAGGTCACCACCCGCCATTTTCCCAACTGCTCGAATTGGCAACCTATAATCGCCGAAAAAACCGATCTCAAAGGGTTAAAAGTGTGTTAGGTCTTGAGAAAAACAAAGAAACATTTCGAAGCTTGATCTGGATTTGTGTAAAATTAATTATACTGATTTATTAGCCTACTCATGTTTATCAAATTTATAGTGATGATAAAAGAGTTACTATTAGGTACACATTCTTTTATACATTTAATTTTCACCTCGTTCTTATTTTACAGGTTTAGTTCAGAGTGATTTGGGTGCGACCAGTTTTTGTCGAGTGAGCAAACTGCTCATTACAGTGTCTTTTACGAGGTGAGTGCAAATTAATATTCCGTTAATAAAGGTTGGCATTGCGAAATCAGACTTTAAATGGTTTCGGTTTGTCATTGCGAAATCAGACTTTGAATGGTTTCGGTTTACGAGCTAATCGCAAAATAATTTTACAAGATTCTAATTGAAAGTAGTTCCTATGTTGAAATCGTACAGGTGTTACAGGAAAAAACGATTTTCACCTCAATTTTGTCGAATTAGAGCTAAATATTGTTTATTCGCTTGGGAAGGCATTTTTAGTTATTATGGTCCATATCTTGCGGCTATCGTGAATGTACTTGATACCAGCTTTCGCTTAAGCACGTACGATGGCGGTCAACAAATTTTACAATAGGCCTATACATCTACAAAGTAGACTTCTCGTCCTATTTTGGAGTCTGAAACTTGTTTTCATGTGTGTTTCATGTTGGTAATGTTGAGCGCTGGTGTTTACAAAATATTTTTTTCTTTCTGATGCTGTGATTTGTGCTTTACTGTGAGGTTATAAAACCAATGGATGAGCTAGCTATTGTTTCTAAATTATATTTGGTTAAAATTGTTTTTAAATACAAGTGAAATAACAAGAAACAAATAGTTTTATAAACACTCTTATAAACAAACATAAGATGATTAATCTAAAGGGAGTACAGTATGTGTAATGCATAGCGTTAGTCCTACTATACAATTTTTCTTGTTACCAGAATTTAAGTTGATATTCATTTGTCGCTCTGAATTAATTATTATTGTATCTTTCCATCTACTAACACTCAAACATTATATTACTAGTATTTACAAAAAATCTCTGAGCTTGCTCTGTATAAGAGGGATGAGGTTTGCTTCTTAATCATGTATGATTGCAAAATTGTATTAAATATTTTTTTACTTAAATACCTATTGGTACCCTTTCAAACCTTTGCTAGGTAACTTCAACTATGCTTGAACTTTGTTGCATTCGTCATTACGGACAGTTTACTGCTTCGAAGATACAAACATTATTTAGACAACTTCTTAACAGCAGTATTCAATTTAATATTGCATTGCAGCATTTTACAAAAATTGGTGGACCTCCAAACCAGTTTAAATAGGTATGTAACACTAATATAATGACAATGGTTACTTCCTTGTTAAACACTTTTTACTAAACGATGCAATGACTTGGTCCGAGGTCTGGTCTAGTGTAGGCCTAATTACTTGATCTGCACTCTACACCAAGGCGTTTGGTTCAGCTGACATTTGCCAAGTGGGTGTGTCCAGACTTGAACCGGTTTGGTTTGCGAATGACCGGACACGCCACCAATATTCTCTGCGACCTGCTTCCGTATGTCTCGCGTTCACATCGCTTTCGTAACGCGTTTTATGAACGGTATATGTATCAGATTATTTCAGTTTTCAGCTGTTCTTGAAAGTTAAGGGGTTTTTGAAACTTGTATTTTTCACTTTTTTAAATACCGGTTTGTGAAAAAACTTCTGGGAATAGATGAAAAAGGATTTTTGCATAAAATTAGGACCTAAGATAAAGTATAAAAATCAGTGTTGCAAAATTACAAATTTTTATACCAGAAGAAGTAGGAAAATTATTCCAAGAATCTGAGGACATGTGTATATCTGAGATTAAACCAGCATTTTTGTATTTTTTAAATATTTTTTGAAGCTATAGCTTTTTAAAGAAAACAAAACAAATATTTAAACTACACTTGATCAAGATCGTAAAATCCACTTAAAAATAATTCCTGTAGACTGTCAAAATACATTTATTAAGTGCTACAGTAAATATTGGCCTGTGACAAACGTAGTCTCCACCCAGATCAGCGAGAGGTGGGCGCAGTAGGGTCGAATGCAGATAAATTGTTTATTGTGCATAAGTCCAGCGTTGCAACACCCCAAGTGGGTCGACAAGGTGGAGGCAGTATGTTGTGTATAATTATACTGTAGTGTACACGTTGCGATTGCCACATTGCTGATACACTCAGTTGATCACTCCCTAATGCATCGTGTCATTGGGCACATTGGAATTGTTAGAAACAAGCTGCTATACCCGTGCTTTGCAACGGGAAGAAAATGTGACCTAGAGAGCTATTCAAGTGGTGCTGATGTGTGTAGCAACTCTATGATTTAGTTTGAAAATATAAACTGATTTAAAAGTGTAAAACTGATTTAAGTGTGTACTTTCAAACCCCCTACTTTTGATGTTAATAGATCTAAAAGAATATACCTCCATACGGACACATACCTTAGCATAAATTTCTTCATATTGCTGCTTCATGAATGAAATGTTTTACCATAATTCTTCAATTTTAGTCAAGCCTCTTTCCATGTAGCTTACTATATAAATTACAAAATAAAAACTTTGAGCAATACTTAAACAAAACTTATACGACCTTTCTTTAAAACCAAACATAACCCTCCTCAATCTTCATTTTTTTAGTAAATAAACAAACACCAATTCATTGCACTGACCAGCTGTTTCATGAACTAAATTGAATTATATCAGTTGAACTTTGGAAATATGCCAGGGGTAGCCCTTTGGAAATCAGCCTGTGGGGCAGAGCCCTTAGGAAATTCATCCATATCAATACTTTTCGGCAAATCTACACACTCTAAGCTTCATTTTGATGTGCCATATGCCTATATTTTTATTTGGTAAATGACCTTAACCGTTTACATAAAATTTGATTGTATCACTTTAATAATATAATACCCCCGCCGCAGCAAACCTGCAGACTAAGCGAATTTCCATTAACCTGATTGGATTTACACTAAAATGCCTTCATAAAAATAGCACATTTATTTCCTATTTAAATAGAATTAGTTTAACGAGTACTTAGGTTTGCTGCAACAGGGAGGATAAAAAAGATTTTTTTTATAAATATTTTAGTAAGAAATAAAAGTATTTTCCAAAATCAATCAAAATATGTTCATAAACAAGCAAACTACAACAGCTGACTTATTCTCCATAAGAATAACATGGTAATTTTAAAATTACAATTTTTTTGAATTTTCTCCGTAACAATTAGGCGCATAATAACGCTTCAATATACTAAATTATTTGTTTTTTTAAGCTCTACAAAATGGTTTAAAAAGAAATTGTGAAATTTTGTGTTTTTACGGTCAAAAATGGGAAAAACCTATTTTTACCCCATAAAACCCCGTTCCCATAGTCTGATCATGCTGGTTCGCGAACTCGTTCAAGTTTATCCTGCCTTACACCTTCAAACCAAATTTTATCAAAATCGGACAAAAATTACTCAAGTTATCGTGCGGATGGACACATATATATATATATATATATATATATATATATATATATATATATCTATATATAGATATATAAAAATTTGAACGAATGGTGTTTTTGGCCTCTGGGGACATCAAAATGAAAAAGTAAATCGGTCCCGGGCTTAGGTCTTACCATGAGACCTACGGTAATAGCTACTTCCCTATAGGGAAATTCGCTAATAGATGTTTGTACAGTGGAACCTCGATAACAAGTCCTTTTTCAAAGTAGTCTCAATCTCAACATAAACAGGTCCCTTATAGTAAATGTATTCAAATCGCCCCTAATCACATCTTAATGAAACCTCGATAAAAAGTTGAAACCTTGATAAAAAGCCTTATTAAGAATACTGTCAATCTTAAAAGTCTTGTTATCAAGGTTCTTCTACTGTACTAGATTTTTCCAACCAAACTGTTTTTAAAATTCAATTTGTGATTGTAATGCATTTTAGGATCTAATATGATTATATTTATTTAGTCTACTAGATATTTGAATGAAATTATGCCATATTACAGTAGTAAGTTATGTAATATTTAAATTTATTTTTTGATGTATATAAGAAGAACGCTTCAATATTCACCTTTTTTACCTCTTTTATGCTCAGATTCTTGTTGGATTCCAACAGCTGTAGAATGGACAGTTCCTTTGGCTTCTTGGTCACACTTCATTATATTATAGTGCGTTCAAACAGCCGTGGCACCTGAGGGATTAGGAGGTCCCAAAGGTTTCCATGGGGTGTCCTAATCCGTCAGGTGCCACGGCTGTTTGAACGGAGTATACTTCATTACAGTAGGCTACAGAGTGTCCATAAGCCCTCTTAAGTATTTTAAATTGGAGTGTCAGTGACATTAGCTGTCCTAAAATCATTGGGACCAGCATGTTTTTAATAACTTCTCTTAAAGTATTGCTATCCTTGTTTCAGAATGATCATTGAAGTAAAACTTGTTTATTAATTTCTAAATATATAGTCTAAAATTGAGTTTTAACACTTACTCTAGATTTACAGGAAAGTTAAACTTATTTTGAAGTAGGTAATCAGTCAATTAGCCGATATAAGTGCTTTAAATCTGATCATGTTTGGAAAGTGTCGAGATAAGAGTGAGTTTAGTGAAGATAGTGTTTACCAGAAACTAAATTGAAGAGTAATATAAAAATGCACTTATAATGATTGTCTTTTCGTCTTTGACACTTTTCTATTCATAGAATGGAAATTTTACAGCTTATGTGTACAATCGAATTGAATTACTGTCGCTTTATTATCTTATATATTAAAACGTGAAGGGTTCTTTATTGTCCAAATATTTTGAATGAAACACTGGACGGATTTTCATGATTCTGCTGTTAAAAGGGAGATTTTTTTAAGTATAGCAGCTGACGCTTAAGATTGTTTCAATTCAATTTGGTTTAACTAACAGCTGGTTTTCTGATTTATAGATGACATACAGTAGTTGAATTATCCATTGTCAAAATTCTCAAGTTTTAATGTTTAATGAATCAGCTGTTTTGAGCAAGGTTCTTTCTACAAACTGTCACTGAAATGCTTTCAATTTAAATTGTTTACAAAATATTTTTGCGTTTTCAGGAAAAGTGTAATTTTAAGTGGCGTATCCCAACAATTTGTGCGCAATCAAGTTTTGATTTAATATAATCTTTGTGCATATAAGTGAATGGTATACAAATTTGAACACCCCTGTCAATATAGGTACTGTATTTAGTGCCTTATGACGAA